GGTTTCGTCCAGAAATCTCTTTTCTGGGCATAAACCCCCCCCCCCCCAAAAAAAAAAAGAGGAGATAAAAGCTAGTGGAGTGAATTTTGTTTTATTCAAATAAGCAAACTGATGATTTAAATAAGTAGTATTCATTTATTCAAAGGGGGCGTTTCCTCCAACAATTTGGTATTGTGTGCAAGGTGCTGAGGGGGAGACAGAAATGCCTGATGCAAGTTCCTCCCTTCCTGGAGCTTACATTATGGGAGGGGACTCTAATGCTAACACACAGGAAACATAGTCATTCTATGAAGCTAGGATATTTTAATATTATAATTATATTATTACCATTAGGAATAACGTAAATGATCTCAGGTAGAGGCAGTCTTTATTAATGTAGCTCTATGTTTGGTCTTCAATAAGATCAATTACAAAATGCCAATGAGCCTTATGTTCTTTATACTGTGAAGGGATAAAGAGGGTCAATATAATTATCTATGTCACCGCCCCAGTGTCACTCTGCTATAAGTGGCCAAGATGAAATTCAGTCTTAGGTTTCCTGAGTTCATCAATGGCAGTTGTAGCAGCAACTACAATTCTACAGTTCTCTCTATTGGTATTCACCCTTCATTCTGCTGCTGCCTCTCTAAGGCAAGTCCCATTATCATTCCCGTCTTACGGATGACGAAACTGAGGTTTCACAGCCTTCCGCAGCCTCGCCCATGGTCACTGGGCGAGCCATCAGAAGCACAGCACGGGATGCAAACCTGCGTTGCCTGGGTCTGGGCGCCACACTCTTCCCTACACCACTCGAAGGGCATAGAAATCGCAACAGAATTATGTGAGGCTCCAAGGGCGCGTTTGTGGTACCTGCAATAGGACGGTGGCCGCCATTAGCTTGTGGAATTTGACAAAATAGCAACTGCAGGGTGCTGGAAGGCAGTGGGCACGCACAGAAGCGGCTCTGAGGAAAGGTGTAGCTAGTCTGAAAGTGTTTGTGAGCAGTCCACTGAAATACAAATGTGGACAGAGTTTGTTTAGGTAAAAAATGCTTCA